TGGACATCTTGATTTATGTGACTTTCTACAGGCCTCAAGACCCACTGGATTTGTGAAATGAGTTATGCACTTTAGACAATATCAAAGGATACAAAATATTTTCTTTAAGTTTTTTGGCATATATTGAAAATCAGAAAAAACTAAGAAAGACTTATCTAAAGTGCTTAGCCATATTTATCCCTCAAAAGATCCAATCAAAGCCACATTAAACTTAGAACATCTGAATGTTTGTTGCCTATTAACATTTTAAATATAGTACATTATACATCTTGGATGAATGTTTTGGTGACTATTAGGCTGCAAGATCAGCATCTAGTATACTGGTCATAAATCACTTACTGTTGGGAGTAATGTATGTTACTATATCTTGTTACTCTGTGTCGAGATGTCATTGGGGATGTAGAGCCAATGGTTTGGCTTATGTGAATGTCTGGACTCACCATTTGTGTCACTTGAATTTCTGGCCCTACCAAAATACCGCCACTCATCACAGGTCCCATACAACCATCAGTCATGCTACCATTGTTCACGTCAGGCATACCAGGGCTAGACAGGACTCTCTCGGCATAGTATACATTGTGTGTGTTGGCTAACTCGGCAGGCACACAAATATTCCCTTGAACATCATAGACAGGTGCCATCACTGTTTCTGTTACTACCACATTGGGAGGAAGCTGAGGATCAAAAACAATTGTTGTGGGTTGTACACATGGGTCAGTCGTAGTGTAAGTCTCAGTCACTATGATATCCCCATGAATCATGGGTTCAGAGGCTGCCATTTCTGCTTGGAATTCAGCTTCTGAGAGAGTCATTCCTGAAGATTCATTAACAAAGTAATTAGGTCCCAGCAAAGGGAGGTCAGTACTGATAGGGATACAGGCCTGGTGTGAAGGAAATGGCTCAATTTCGGTGTCTAAGCAGATTTCAGCAAGAGTCCGAAATTTTGGATCTAAAGTTTCCATGTAGCTTTCATCCAGGTCGTCCACGATCCAACTGCAGCAACCAATGGAGCCCACTGGTGACCCAACTCCCTCATGGTCGTAGATAAGCAAGCAGTCATTGGCTGGTCGGCCTTCATCCTCATCTGCATATGCGTATGCTTTCTAAAATTAGAAGAAAAATGGAGAAGTAGAAGTTTCCTTTCCCTTAAAATAATCAGAGAAGCCCTGCCAGTGGCCCACGCTTATAATCTCAGAGGCTGGGGAGGCTGAGGCAGGAAGATTGTGAATTGAAAGCCAGCCTCAGCAAAATCGAGGTGCTAAACAACTCATGAGACCCTGTCTCTAAATAAAATGTAAAATAGGCCTGGGGATGTGGCTCAGTGGTCCAGTGCCCCTGAGTTAAATCCCTGGTACCTGCCCCCCAAAAATAATAATCAAAGAAGACTAATAGCAATGCTTCAGAGACTTCTAAGATTAAATTAAGGAATAAATTGAGGAAAAAGACTAGCACTTAATGTATTACTAAATAACTGGAATTTTTAAAAAGGAGATCAGATTGCATTAATGATGCATTCAATTTGAGGATTAAACATGAATTTCTCTTATTTGAAAACTAATAAATGATAATGACTATATTTTGTTCAGATTTGAATCAAAACTAATATTTAAATCTTTTGAAGTTATAGACTTTTGTTTCTGGAATAAAATTGTATTTAGTTATGTTCAAACTATTTTTATAAAGAGAGATATTTGATCAATTTGAAATGAAAGCATTTATAAAGATTTATATCTTTCTGAGCTACAGAGACTTGTGTTAGAATGTTCATGAAATTTTATGTGGCTTGAGCTGAGATAGCTGGAATGATCCCTGGAGTTAGTTCCATAAAAAGGAAGGCACTAAAAGATCATCTACCATGATTTTCAAATTATTCTTTAAAGAAAGACATTTAAAATGAAACCTTAGGTTGGAGCACAATATGTAGAATAGAACAGATACAAGTAGAATCTCCCTGTTTGGAGGAGGTGCCAGCTCTCTTCCTTCTTCCCTCACCTATAATGGTCTTTGTTATTTAAAATCAGAAAGAAAAAAAAAAAAAACTCGAAAAAGCCTTATCTAAAGTACTTAGCAATAAATCTTATGGAATCTTACAGGTCCAGCAGAACAGCATTTGAAATCCCTTGATATAGTTCAACCTTCTGTTTACCTTATAAAGTAACTACAAGCCCAGAGAAGGTAAGAGTTGAATTGCTTGCCCAAGACCCACACAGTCTTAAAATAAAACTTCAAATCCAATTTTCCCTTTTACACAATATGGTGTTTCCCCTCTGATCCAGCTTTTAAATTCTACCATTAGAAATGGAATGATCTTTAGGCTTTGTACCAACAATTCGTGAGTTAAGAATAACCTTAAGCCTTTGTTATGTAATATTTGGAATGACTCCTCAGTAAGAGGGTAATCTCCTCTTGCATGCATGGAACACAAATTAGTTTGGGGGGGGTAGGGGTAGATGTTGGAGATGTGTAAAGTGGCAGGAAGGAAGCATTAGTAAAATTTTGCAGAGGCTCACCTTGGGGTAGGGAGAGCTTGAGTCTCCTGAAATCACCTCAAAAATTTAGCACCATTTTTAAAGTGTCGAGCTAAATGTTTTGGGAAGGATGATCTCAGTTCCCACAAGGGAACACATTTTTATTTTGTCTCATAAAGCACTGATGATAACCAAAGGAAAAATGCCAGGTGCAATTTGCCATTAATGGTAGAGCACCTTTGATACTGGTGGGGTTTTATGAATAATTTAAAAAAATATTTCTTCTATGATATATTTTTTGTGCCTGTTCGTTGAATGAATTGATTAATGGTATCTACCATTCATTTCAATGAGTTTATGGTCTGAAACAGTATTTTTACTTGTTTAAATAAGAGACAGGGTTTCACAAAGTTGCTAAGGCTGGCCTGGAATTTGAGATCCTCCAGTCCCAGTCTCCTGTGTCTCTAAGATGACATGTGTGCACCACTGAGCCCAGCTTGTTGCAAAAGTATTTTTTTAACTACCAATTTTAAGATATAGTTTACATCTACAACAACATCTTCAGCATTTTTTTTTTTTTGTGAATAGCAGTGGTGAAATTCATGACTGAGTAATGGTGAATAAAATGGGTTTATTGAAATATGAGATCCAATGAATTGCTAATTAAGCAAATTAAACTTTCTGAATAGGATACACAAGATTTATTTACCCATTATGTCATTGTATTAGGCAAACTCGGTGACTATGGGCCTTTCTTCTTTGGGATGCTCATTAATAGACCTATGACCCTTTTTCTTTGTGAGAGTGAGTCTAGTGGAAGGCAGGATGGGTGACCTCCCTTCTAGGTCCTCATTTGTAACCAAGTTGTGGTGATGCTATATGTGTACCTGAACTTTCACTCCCTTCACTTCCCAGTTTTGACTTTTAATTTATTCTTCTCCATTTCTGGAGAACAGATGGGACATCATAAAGAGAGGACATGAATGCACATTTTTTTGGTGGTTTTTTTTTTTTTTGATCAGCATTCTTCTTGTTTTTTGATGCTATGGGAAACAGAGGAGAAATCAGAAGGAAACAGAAGACAAGAAAATGGAAAAGAGAATTGGAGAATGAAGAGGAATGCTAGCTTTTTTTCTTTTGTTTTTCTTTTTTACAGTATTAAATTTTGTTATGGCAACTGAATATGTAATACTGCTGTGAGTTGGCTTTATGTATGTTAAGGAGAAGTAAACTGTTTCTTTATTAAGATTAGGATAGGTCTAAGAATATTTGAATGTATTTCTGGAGGGGTCCACTGCCCTTGTTTTCATGGTTAGTCACAGATATGTTGTGTGTAACTGCGTAAGAGAATTACCTCTGAGAAGTAGCTGTCCAGGAAGGCCATGTTCATGCCGGTGTCTGCATACTCCCGCAGGGTGCCTATGGTAGAACTCCTCTTCCTCAATGTCCCCATAGTTCCTCCAGCCACCATGCCCTCAGCCATTCCAACGCCTGTATTGAGTTCCACTCCTGACACACCTCCTTCAACTGTTCCTCCACCTGCATAGGTGTTGGTGTAGATTTCTGAAAAGAGAGGATGTCCCTTAATAGTGCTTGAGTTGCCTGCGTTGCTCATGCACCCCAAACATTGCCAGCTGCTGTCTTCCAGCCCTCCACACCATACAATAAGCAGGCAGGCTCTGGAAAACCAGGCAAGGAACAGCAGGAATTACACCCAGAATCTCCAGGATTGGTGAGAAAACAAAAGTAGCTGATACAGAGGGAGCAAGTTATGGGAGATAGACTTCGTGTATGCACAGAACCTTCTCCTCTAGACTTAGAGGTGTAGAGCTTGCCAAGAGGAGCGGGGTCTCTGCATTGGTGCCAGTTCCTGCCTTTGCTACCTCTGGCAAGTGCCCCAGCTCCCCTAAAAGGATGTGACTTGCATTTCCAACAGTTGGAATTCCAGGTCCTCATTCACACTGGTACTGAATGGAGAGCTGGAATTCTCACAGGAATGTTCAGTCAATGTATATCTTTGCATGGAAAGTGTCAGACTTGGGATACTAAGGAAAAGAAATCTCATGTCTGCTTCAGAATGGGGCAGCTCTCTATTTGGTTCCAGCATTGCACAATATCCGGGTATTTTTCAGTATTCTAAAGTGGGGGTGGGACTGGTAAGTTAGGAAAGTATAAGACACTGTTTAGGCAAAAGAACATGTGAATTGAAGGAAAATTCTTCAATTTTTATTAGAACATATTTGCTGCTTTTTCTTTTGTTCTTATTTATATTATTGTAAATAATCCCTGTAAGAGCCTATGCTCTGTCAGGGACAATTCTCATGTATATTTTGTGACATCTACCTGTATCATACCTAATATATGTGTAAGTTTTGATATCATATTTAATATTTGTGTGTGTTTAGTTTATTCCTCCTAGCTACACTTTGAAGTAGGTATTGTGATAATTTTTATTTTAAAGAGAAGGAAATAGGCTCAGGGAAGTTGGGTCTTGCCCAGGGACTATTATTACTAATGAGTGGCTGAGCCAGGAATCAAATGGAAGCACTCTTATTTCAGAGTTTGTTGTAAAAGTCAAGTTTAAGATAGAAAAATAAAGTGGCCACTTGAACATATCACTTTCCCGGTAATTATATGATCCATTAAGGAGATCGACAGATATTTTTTGGGGGAGGGAGGGGTACCAGGGATTGACCCCAGGGGCATTCGGCCACTGAACCACATCCTTAGCCCTATTTTGTATTTTATTTAGAGACAGGGTCTCACTGAGTTGCTTAGTGCCTGGATTTTGCTGAGGCTGGCTTTGAACTTTCAATACTCTTGTCTCAGCCTCCAGAGGTGCTGGATTACAGGCATGCACCATTGTACCTGGCTGGATATGTTATTTTTTATAAGGTACTTTTAGGTGAGATAGGTTTGGTTGAATAATTTTGCAAATTGAAAAAGAAAAATAAAATTTATCGTTCACTGACCAGAGGAATCAATACGATCCTGGGTATTAGAAGCTGTCATGGGTGCACATATATTGGACACATCCTGAAAAGAAAAAAAAAA